TCATTGATCCAATGTGGATATATTGATCTTTTTTTGTGCAAATATTTATGACGCACTCTGTATATAGATAAACAATATATTTAGGTATAACTGTTAGTACAATTCCAGCAATATTTATAAAACTTTATCGAGTTAAAAATGAAGTTATAAGTTCGGAAGAGTCAACAACAAAAACAAATGATAATGATATATTACCAATACAAAGACTTGTTCCTAATCAAAGTATTGATTCAGAATTACATGAACGCATTCATTCATTACCAAGTCCAAATCATCTTCGTGTTACAGCTTATATTTTAATGATTGTACTTATTTTATTAACTTGTTTTGTTATTTATTTAACATCATTTATTGCTATGGGTATTTGGCTTAAATATCATTATGAACCAAAAGATTTATTACAATCAAATGCAACTATGAATCCATTTTATGCAGCAATTGTTATTACAATAACTGCTTTCAATCAAAATGGTTTATCACCTTGGTAAGTGAAGATTTAGAAGAGAATAGTAAAAAAAATGTTTTCAACTAAAATTTATGTCTTTTTCTTCAGGACAAATGGTATTGGTTTATTTGTTAAGGATATTTTTATGAATATTTTTATTATCATTGTTGTTATGTCAGGTACTTCATTATTTCCAGCTATAATTCGTGGTGTTGTTGTTTTATTTAAAACAATTGTACCGTAAGTTGAAAAAAAAAAGTTGTTTTGATTTTGAAAAAATAACAATGATTTTAGTTGGCGTTATAAAATATTTTTTGATTATATTTTATTAAATAATCATCGTTTATCTGCTGTTATTTTTCCATCAATTCAAACACGACTCTATGTTACTATTACAATTTTATTACAAATATGTGAGTTATTATTATATCAGAGAAAATTTATTTTCATTGAATTTTAGTGGGTGTTGTTGTTGCATTAATACTTGATTATCGTAATCAAAATTTAGTTCAATATAAAGGAGGAACACGATTTATGATATTTATGCTTGAAACAGCTAATACTCGTTTTGGAGGTAAATAGATTTAATCTATAACAAAAAAAAGAAAGAAACTGTTAACGCAATCTCTGCCGGTTTAAAATATGAAATATGATGTAGCTACTGTTCCTAATTACAGGGAGATTGTTTTATCTGTCTACTTTTCTTCATCCTCCTTTCACTAAATCCCTCAGAAATGCAATAAGAAAGTAGGTCCTATATTGTAACGAGATGCAATTCCTATACGACTTTTGATCGAATATCAATAGTCTACTATGGTCTGTGATGACCGAACTAATGCCCACTGTTTGAACTTATGTTGTACCCATAAGCAGGTCTCAGTGAGATTAGCAAAAGCCTAAAAGAACTTGTCTCTCGATGGTCTTCTAGCGAGGAGTTGTGATCAGTTTACTCGATGTTCGACACGTTTTTAGGTACTCTCCGAAAAATCAAGTAATAGAGTTTAATCCAAAATTTCGCCCATAAACATGCAGAGTGACTCTTATAATATCTTGAAAGTTTCAGTCGAAAAGAATATTCCTTCGTTGAGTTATTAAATTTTCAAGTGAACTCAATTTTTTAGACAGATATGTAACAAAAGACCAGTCTCTGCAGATGAAACTATCAGGGCACTCTAAAAATCACTAAACGTATCTATTGGCAGTATCCTACATCGAAACTTCGGAATTTGATTTTTTGGGGGCTGCTTACAAATGAGTTCGAAAATGTAGTAAACTGGTCGAAATTCGCTGGTAAAGATCCATGAGAACGAACCATTTTAGTATTATGCTAGTCCAACTAAGATCTGTCTGTGAGTTCAACATGAACTCAAACGGTGAACGTTGGTTGTGGTTGTAGAACGTCTGTAATGGTCTGTGAAGCAGAGAGAATAATGCAAATTTTTACTCTACATACTTTGTTACTTCTTTTAAATCATGTTTCACAAAAGAATGATCTATGTATTTATAGGTTATGCAACAACTGATTTAAGTTTACTTGCGCCGGGAACATTGATTATATTCGTTTTATTAATGAGTATAAAACCTCAAATGGTATGTACAATTTTTAGTTTTAATCACTACAAACAAAAAATAACTTTTGATCTTTGTTTTCTATTGAAGTTATGTGCTATTGATGAAACTCCATTTGAAATGGAATGGATATTAATACAAACACAACAAAAATTAGAAAATAAAGTTTCAAGTAATAATCGACGTGGAAGTATACAAATATTTTTACCATTTAATCGTGTGAAACATTATTTATCACGTCAAGGTTCATTAACTAAAGCACAAGCATCAAAATATTTTACATCTATTGCACGAAGAAATCGAGCTTCTCAAGCTATTAATCAATTAAATGAAAAATGTCTTCAACATCGTCTAAGTGCATTATCATTAGATACGTATACTTATTCAAAAGATGATCGAAATAGAACAACTGGATATATATCATTTCTTCGTATGAAGCTTTTATTAATTATTTTTTGTCGTCATGCTGTTATTAGTTTATTCAGTCTATTAGTTTCTACTCGTACATGGTTATTTATATTTATTTTTCTTATTTGTGCATTTGATTCATATCATATGGCACCTGCTGATCCATCAATAAGTGTATTTCGTGTTATATTTGAAGTTATTAGTGCATTCGGTGGTTGTGGTTTATCTATGGGTCATCCAAATGTTACATCAAGTTTTGCTACAGTACTTACAGTTCCAAGTAAAATAATTCTTATATTAACAATGTGTATGGGTAGACATCGAGGTTTACTTGATTCAATGAAAGATCAAGAAGAAATTGAATATAGTGCACAAACATTAATTGATAGTTGGCAACAACTAGCTGTATTAGAACAAATAGAAAAGAAGAAATCATTAGCAGAACATCAATTGTTACCAATTGTACGAGTAGCTCAACCACCTTCATCACTTATTACTAAATTTTAATGGATCTATTTGTTTAAATGAGCTATATATTTATTTTCTTCATTGAGATTTTAAATAAATGAAATAGTTGAAATAAAAATCATTAATTACTCTATACTAAGATAAAATCTAATGTCATTTTCTCAATATTGTTTTCCATCATGAACACATACTAAATGTCTATTTGAGACACCATCATCATTTATTCACATAATCAAAGTAATTAATAAACCATCTACAATATGCTCGCTCTAGTCTTGTTCTAAATTCACTTAATTATCTTCATAAGTATTGTATATACATATATGTTTGCACCATGTCAATGATCTGAAGAAGTTCGTCTAGTGCAACATTTTAGTGATTCTTTGTGCTGGATTATTACACATTTATGGTTTTCATAATTATTCATCTAGAAAATATTCTATTCATATTTTAATTGAAAAAGGATGACTTAGAAATATGTTTGTTTGTTTTATCTCTTCGTCCCATCAGTTCCTCTTACCAAAGTTTGATTATTGTGTTTATGGTTAGTAGATTCTTTAGCATACTATTGCTTATGATGAAAGTAAATGACGTAATGATGGTAAAATAATTGAAGCATACAATAGAATAACATTAAGCATAAAGTGTGGCAATGAACAAATATAATTATAGTAGCATTGATGAAGCAGACTTGTTTAGTTATTTATAACACTTGATGTATCTCTTTTTTTTATGGAAGATATTGATTAAATTATTCGATACAGATGATTCTATTTGTATTCTTTGTCAGTTAATCTTGATGGAGATTCAGCTTTTTAGGAATAACAATAAACTTTTAAATGGACTAATTTCGCTTGTCCTCCTTTGCCTTTCGCCTCTCTCTTCCTGTAGATAGGCAGGCAATAAAATTGATTTTCGAGATTTGAGCCTATATCATAGCTAGCATTGAAGCTACTATGCGGCTGCATTCAAATCCAACCTAGATACTGCTTTATGGTGAATATCTGTTAAACAGCAGATACCACAAAGTACGTAAAATAGATAACTATCATTTATAGGACCGTATAAGTAAAATGTATGTTTTAAATTGAGAATCTAGTTATATTCATAAGTTATTATATAGTTATACAGTGTAATGTAATTACTATATATTATAGACCATTTGAACTTCTTGAAGTTCTTTAGGCTATAATAAGATCAAAACTTAAATTCAGTATAGAAAAACAACATAACCACAGGTCAATAGTATAGTTATTTCTCTGAACTTCCTGGAACTTTCATTCAACTTTTAATTGGTCATTTAGTAGAGCATATCATCATCTATCTTCTGTAGATTCCCGTTGAAATCCTTGTTGAGATATAATACCCCAAATGTAACCTTCTATCAACATTTGTTGGCAATTTTGATACAATGATTACTCATGTTTCTAGTTCATCAAGTTTTGAATAGATAAATAAATAGCAAACGTACGTCAACTTCAGGTTTTATATTAAATATTTCATTTTAAAATCGGTTCTTTTACTCTTCCTTAGAAATTGAATATATAAAAAAGTCATGCATAGATTTCTTATAAGATATACGCCCCGGAAAAAAATCTTTCTCCTCTTTGTCCTTTTATGCTGTCAAACTTTCCATTAAATTTATTACCGAGTAGAGATATGGCATGAGAGTTTTATTTCATTTTGGTTTATAGATCACACTGTAATAAAACTCTAATGTCTGATCTTTACTCAGTAATAAACTTGATGCAATCTATGACAGCATAAAAAGACAAGAGAAAAAGACTTGTCCGAGGATGTAAAGTGATGTGTTTCATATTTTTATAAATTTTTCGTTCGCAAAAATACATCAAGTTGCATGTTCTTTCTAAGTTTCGTTCGAGATAAATAATGTTAGTGGAAATGAATAATTTTTGTAGCAAGAACTAACACAGATTGCGACACAAACTATAAATATCGAGAAATTAAGGTTTTTAAACAGAATTTCAAAAAATATGAAAAACTCGGAAACTCATTTTAATATGTTTCAAGACAAATTACAGAGCGATTTTAAAGNTTAAATTTTTTACTTAATCATTATTCACAAAATAATGGTTATGTAACACCAATTATGGGTCGACGTGTGATACAAGATATGTCAAGTTTATATGGTATTAATGCTGATTATCAACAAGTATGGAAAAATCTTGAATCTAATTATGCTCTACAAAATGGACTTGTACCACAAGAAGCATTTACAAACTATTTTATAAATCATCCAGCTTATGCAGCTGCTTTTTACAATGGTGTACAAGTACCTATACCACCTCCATCTCCGCAATTATAAACATTGCTTCCTCCTAATCTGTTTGTAATAAATGTTTGTTAATATCTGCTTTATAGAAAAAATCTGCTGCAGACTATATATTAATTTTTTGTTGATGATAAATAAAATAAAAAAAAACTAATAAATGAACTTATTACTTTTTTTGCATAATATTCCCTAGTATAACAATGATTAGGTCTTTTTTTCTTGATATATTTCTTTAGTAGTATTATCAGCTGTTTTAATTTTATCTCGAATTGAATGAAAATCAACATGATCTACTTGATCGAAATTAAGTGTACTTGTTGAGCTATAGAATGTTGTGATTTTTCAGTTGCTGAATTCTATTGACAAGAAATTAAAACTGTTTATAAATTCGAAAAATTTTTGGTACAGCTGGTTTAGTTGCAGGTTTGTTCACTGATTGTCGCCACAACATTTAAAATAAATGAATACAAAATAGAAAATTACCTCTGTTTTTTTTTTCATAGAAGATTGCGCCACATGTTTCATCCAATCTCAAGTTTTAAACATCACTGAACATTGTTTGGTTGGATAAAACGGAGGCTACAAAGTTGCGGTATATAATGTAAAAGAAAAGAAGATTAATCTTTTGTTTTTGAACAAATTATGAATTTTAATCGATCAATGGAAAGTAATACAAGTCTCAGTGGTCGAATATCACCAAGTTTTCAAATATCAGCATCTGATTATTTAAGAAATCGTTGTGTTCAATAATAAGATTGTGGAAAGATTTAATATCCTTTGAAAAATTCTAATGATGATGATATGAAATTTCATAGAGTAGTTTTTGAACGTTTTATTGATTCACCTGGACCAATCTTAAGAACAAATTTCGAGAAATTCGTTCGAGGTAAACTTATTTAGATCCTTTTTTAAAGAATGAAAATTTTTCTATATTAACTCTTAGTTACGTTAGGTATGATTAACCGGAAACAACAATTAATTAATTATGATCTAATAATAATTGCGAGACTTGTTCATCTTTTGTTTTTTCATTCATTTATAATATTAGATTTTTTTTTTAATAATGCACACAAATATGTATTTTACCTATTTGATTTTAATGTAAAGATTGTTCATTTGAAGTTATTTTTCTCACATGTTTTTCTTTAGACAACAATCAACTTGATCGACATGAATATAGTTTATGAACAAAAGGAACAACAGAAGACGAAATCACCGATGTTTGATTGTCTGTTCATGGCAAAAATTCAAATAACGTTGCGATAAATTTACCTATTGATGCACGCAAACCGTCTGTAATTAATGTTCCACATGATAGTACTGAAGTATGAATATTCAAATTATTTTTTATTTTTTTTTGCTTATTTGGTTTTCACATAAGTTAGAAAGTCAACAAGAGATGGAATTAGATGCTATTGTTCAAGTATAATGAAAATTGTTTTCCCGCTTTTGTTTATTCTCATTTAAGTTTTCCGTCTAGCTTTTTTGTGTTTTCCTAACGGATAAGTCTTTTTGTACCTAATAATATTGCTTTTGTTTTATAGATTGTAATATGTATATTAAAGATTTCTCTAAAAAGCAATCTTTTCTATGCATATCTATCAAAGTAATACTTTAAAAAAAAATTCTTTGGTTTTGACTCAATCTGATTTTTGTATCAAATAATAAGATGTGTTTAAGCTGTTATGATTTAAAGTAATTAGGAAAACTCATGTGCACAATCTTGTTTAGAATATGTTATCCAGACATGTAATCTAGGAGAAATATAAGTGATTAATAAATAAAAGAAAATTTTTGTTTTTCTATGTTTTTGGAGTATTTCTTTAGAAATATCATCGAGATATTCTTAGGGTATGTTCATAAAACCTAGGATGATAATAATCAAATGTCGGTATCTATTCAAAATGATTGTTCATTTGGATCTCTATGATTTAGCGTTTAATATGTATGCGGTGTTGATGGAATATATAATTTATTTACTAAACGAAATGAACAAGTTAAACCGACAGGAATAAAAAAATGGGATATCGATATATTATCAGCTTATTTTGAAAAAAGCTTATTCAATTATAAACGACCTGTTCAATGCAATTTATATGCTAACTTGTTTCTTTTTATCTAGGAAAAAATACTCATAGTTTACATAGATTTCTTAGTTAATTAATGACACATAATTTTCTAAAAAGATTGTTGTATTCTTTTAGATAGTTTTATTATGCATAGCGTTAAATTTTTAACGGTTTTTTTCGGTCAACTTTTGTTACGTATTGTGAGTATGAATAATTTTTGCGATTTTATATTATTGGAATTAATATTTAACTTAGGTCTTTGTAACATCGGATTCATTATCTTCAATTCAATGCCTTGATCGTGGTTTTTCACCAGATAATTTACTCTGTTCAAATTGTCATGATTTAAAACAATTTAAATTAAATGAATTAGAAAATACATGTCAACAATGTTGTACTCTTACTGATAACGAAGAAGATAAAACAATAGTAAGAATTAAAAAGAAAAATTTTTATAAAAACATAACTTACTTTTAAAAATTTAGAAATATCATCGAGCTATTCTTACCTTATGTAAATGTAAATTTGGACGATATCCACAAATCGAAGCTTTTATTAACAGTAAACGTCCACAACGATTTCCAACATTTAGTTTTAAACATGTTGCTGGTGCTGAACCTGTTCTTCATTTATACAATGATGAAGATGAAGAAATACAATCATTAGGTATTGAAAAATGGGATACGGATACATTAACAACATTTCTTGAAGAAAATTTACGTGTTTAATTAATTATTTTTATTTCTTTTCACTGATTAATTATGTCTTTTTTTTTTGTTCAGCAATAAAATATATTCAAATCTGTTTAATTTAAATGAATAAGATTACGAGAATTATTTTTTTGTTTATTTCTCAGATATTATTGAAATGATGGATGCGTCGAAAACTATTGATTGTAGGTAGAAAAAAAGAAAACAATTTGAAGTTTGTTTCAAGTACGAATATAATTTTAGTTGATAATAATGATCAAATTCGTCTTTTAACAAATTTACGTGATGATATAAGAATTTTACTTCATTCACACCCAAAAGGTATTTGGTTTCGAATGCTACCAAAAGTATATTATATGCATTTCAATCGTGATTTACATTTGGATTTATTTGCTATTACAAATCCATATTTATTTCTTGATTATATATCAGATATAATAAAATTTGATTTACCTGACAATTTAAATGAAGAAGATTTTATTATTGAATTAAATAAGGATCAAAAACAAATATTACAAACATCAATGCAATATATGGATTTAAAATTGAGACGGTAAAAGAAAAAAATTATTAGAAGAAAAAAAAAAAATTGCAAATATTGATTGAAAACATAACTTTTAGCTAGTAGAATAAATAAAATGGGCTGTTAGAAAATATACTAATGATCAGTTATTTTCTATATAGAAATATCGATAAAAATTCAGATTTTATCAGTAGACAGAAATAAGTTTTATTCGTATGAGGATTAATTTAGCAACGAATGGCTCATAAATAGTGACAAATTTTGTATATCGTGTATTTCTCGATCAGCCTTCATTGTAATAATTTGTGTCTAGTTTCAAAAGATTCTCCTATCAATTCTCTACAAAACAACATTAAAACGTTTAATCTATACTTCTAATTCAAAAAAGTCATCGTATAATTAATGTTATGCCTGAGACAGTTTTTGAGTATAATGAACTGAGCTCTTTCTCATGATATGCAGTGATGGTTATGTGAACAAAGTATTATAACACAGATACTGACTTCTTGAATCTAAGTCGAAAGCAACCAAATTTAGGCTTATTTTGCTAATTTTATCCGAATACAGAGTTGTATTCTCATAATGAACATTTGATGTAACGTAACATTCATTTCTATTAAAACTATAAACTCAAATGCTTAAGTTCCAGTGGACTTTTACCAAATTTCCTGACTGTTTCAAAAGTACTAATCCAAACCGTGAGTTTTGTAAACATCCGAAAATAAAATTCTCTTTCTGAGCAACGGGCGTTGATGTGAAAATCGTTTGAACGTACCTGAAAGATGGAACTTTTCGCAGGCTACAAAATGAATAATAAATTTATTTGAAGGATCAATATCTCAACGAATAAAACCAAAACAACTATTTTTTATGTTAAAAAGTCACACACGTTGCGGGAGGATAGTATTATCTGGCCAGTTTCGAAATGATAAGCTGAGATTAAGCGTTTTCATGTTCTTTTGTAGAAAATTGTAAGAATAACCTTTCGAGACTAGATACAAATTTCTATAGTAAAACCTAACCGAGAAAAAGTACTAAAATACAAATTATGTCATTATTTATGGGTCGTCTATTACAAGAAAGATAAATTTAAATAAATAAAAAAGTCACAGAATAAATAAGAAGAAATTCAAAACAATGAATGAAAATTCAATTTTTGTATTAGTAAAGCAGATGTAGCCTTTGTTGGTGTATTTCTATTTCTTTTCTCAGCAATGAGCACTGCTTTTTCTGCTGATGATCTTTTGCAATATTTCAAATGAATAGCCATATCAACAACATGTGTGCATATATATTCAAATGATTTTTTTGAATCGACAAAAAGTTGTCCATTTCTCACTTTTTATATTTATTTGAATCGGCTGGTGTGATCGATTATAAATTACGAACTGGTATAAAATATGCTATTGAAAAAAAATCATTGGAAATACAAATTATAAATTTCGTTTATTTAGGTCATTAACACAATAAAGTCCATAATTATAAAGATATTAGTGTTGGTTCTGTAGCGAATATTTTGACACTAATTGACAAAGAATCTCGTTTAATTTACCAATTATTGACAATACTGGAAATTTTTGTACAAGACATGACGTTCTCTAAACGTTTCACCATCTTTGATTGTTCTATTGGTTGTCTCGAAGGCGTTGTTGGTACTTGGTGCATATAGTTGTATACTGCCATACCAACAGTCACTCATTATCAAAATAATTCAAAAAATCTAATATTGATTAGTTTTTTTTGCTTGTTATTTATGTTTCAATTCTTCATGAATAACGTTGATGCTAATTTCAATACAGTTATAGAATTGGACAATTGAAGCATTATAATATTTTCTATTATTTCCTTTGTAATATGTCTATCATTTATTTGAATCACATTATAGCGCATTTCGATTTTTATGATTACCATTTAATTTAATTTAATTTACTTTTCATTCATTTATTCTACTGATCACTTAAATGATAGCTATATTGATTTGTATGATTTTAGAGATGTTTTATTGAAAATGTTGCAAAGTGCAAGTTCTGAAAAACGTGGTTCATTATTACGTGAAATTTGTATTATTGATGAACATTTAAAATATGTCAATCATGAGAAGGAAGTGTCTCCTTCACCAAAAAGTTGATAAATAATTTTTTTTGTCTGTTTTTGATATTATATTTCTTTGTTTTTATTTGTAGTACCAACTCATGAACAAGTAACTTTGCGTCTTCAAAAGATACGTTCAATGATTGATTTTAGTCTTAATTATCTTCTTAAAACACCAAATGAAATATCTGATGATGAATTAATTGAACTCTATGGTAGTTCAGATGAATTTATTCGTAATTTAATTCCATTAGCTGAGCGTTTATCTTTATCAACAAAATAAACAACATTTATTATTATTATCTTGAAAATAGTCAGATAGTCTTTCGTGGTTTCAATGGTTTTCTTTTTGTTACGAATCTCGAAAAGATATTAAAATAGACACGTTTTTTCTTTATTTTAAAATTTAACATTGTGAAAAAAAAAGAAATAGAGCCTGTTACTTTTGTCTTCAGATATTAAAAATGTCAATGAATGAACATCAATGGCAAAGAATTAAATGTGAAGAACAAATAAAATATCTTATTAATTTACGACAACGTTTTCGTCAAGTATATAAATCTATTTTGATCGATCAATTCTTTGTTTCTTTTTCTTTTTAATAATCTTGTTTAGTATTTAAAACAAAATTTTAATACTGTTTGGTATTCAGATGCACAAGTGAGAATTCAAAAACAAAAAAAAAACCGAGATTTTTTAAAGTTCTAGAAAAAGGAAAATACTTTTATCTTTGATAGAATTATTTTCAAGAAGATTTAGAATTACTTGATGTATCACTTATTGAATGTATTTGTGATCTTGTCAATATTCATACATCATTTTCAAATGAAACAGGTGATCAATTTAAACTTGAACTAAAATGTGAGAAGTCATCGAATACTAATGATGTATGTATTAAGTTTCTTTGTTTTACGACAATCGACTTTATCTATATATATATATTTAAAGAAGCTTGATGAATCTATGAAAAGAATCTATTTTAACCGTCGACACCGAGCTTTAATTAATAGTCGGTTTGTATTCAAAATAATTTTGCTCGATTGTTTCTTTTTTTGATGTCGAATTATTTATGTTTTAGTGAAATTCTACTTGATGACTTAAGTATATCGATAAATGAAAATATTCAAAATCGAATGCTTAAAATACGTGCTGTATGTGTACTTGATGAAGAATTAATTTATATTCAACAAGAATTAACATCAAAATCTATTGGAGAACAAGTAGCTATTCGTTTACATCAAATTCGTGCAATGATTAATGTTTTTTTTAAACAAACATCTCAATCATCATTTGAAGACAGTCGAGCTATGATTCCACTTGTTCATTCTTGTGATTCATTTCTTTCAACATTTCGTCTATTTTTAAATAGTACAACTTCTGATATAAGTTTAAATTCTTCATTAGATACTCAAAACGAATATAAATAAAAAGAAAAAGAAAAAAGAAAAAGAAAAAAGAAGTTTGGTCTAAAACCAATCCATCGATAATATTCTTTTTTTTTTCACAAAAGAAACAGATATTAACAATTCTATATACAAAAATTGATTAGATTTTATTATTATTATTTGTAGTAAGACTTTTTTTTGCTTGAAAGCGATAAGCTTTATGCACATATGTTGGCGTGTGACGTCGATGACATTGACAACGAAGTAAACGAGCAAATGTTCGTCGAAATGTTCCATTACATAAGGCATAAAGCATTGGACTAAAAATAATAAATAAAAATTTTATTAATAAAACATATTCTTTCAAAATACATACTTAATCGTTGAGTTAATATAACATAACATATAACCAAATCGTTCCCAATACATTGGAAATCCACGTTCAAATATATCTGGTTTTATAGTTGATATGACTATATTTGTATTATAAGGAAGCCATGTGACAATGAAAGCAATTAAAATAGCACTAGAAGAAAAAAATAATGATAAAATAAAATTTCTAGATTAAACGAAGAAATAATTTTGTTTACCTTAAAGTTTTAGCAGCTTTTTGATCTTTCATTTTTTCTAAACGACTTTTTACAGTTTTAACACTTCCACGTGTATTTGTAGAAACAGGTGTTGTAAGTTTTTGTGTTAATGCTTTCGAAGGTGGAACAATTATTTCATTTCTTTGTTGTATATTTACTGTATTTGGACATGTTTGATGGACAATATGTGTCGGTTGTTGTTGTTGCTGTTGATCGTTCGATGAAGCTAATAATGGATCGATGCAATTATGTTTAGGATGTTGTCGCCAACTGGCATCATGTGTATAAGTAGTCGCATGAGGTGGTGGAAGCGAAATTGTTGTTTGACCACGTAATCGTGATTCAACATATTCAATATCTTTATCAATAGTATTAACTAATGGTTGACGCTGTTGTTGTTGAGATATATGATCATCAGATGTTGATGATAATGAATGGCAATAAAGACGAGTTTCATATTGAATAGATTTTTGCCGCTGTTGATTATACATATCATTTATTGCTGGCGGTTGATCAGAACGACGAATCCATGGATCAGTATATAAAATAGACTTAGTTTGTTCTGATGAATTACGACTATTACTTGAACGACCATTAGCAAGATAGACTTTTCCATTATTTGTTAAGGATTGAGAATTAGTTTTATTTCGATCGTTAGTAGAATTAATTGCAGGTTGAAGTTCGCTTGAAAATTCATCATCCTCATCTCCATTTTGATTTGTATTTGATACTGTTTGATCACAATTTCTTAAATAAAAATAGATATCTTATTATAGATTGTTAGTCAAATGTAATATTAATTGAATCATTGTTTTTTTTTTTTATTTTGTTTAATTTAAAACAACTTATTAATGATATTAAGACTTTATATGAATTTGGACCTCTTATTTCATGACTTGATCAATTATGAAAAAGTAGTTAAAGTATTTTTTTTTTCTAGAATAATATTACGACGAACATGCTAAAACATAATGACTGAGTATGTTTGCCTGAAAAAATAAACTGCTTATCTCCGTGTAACTAATAATAATAGTGACTTTCCCTTCTCTACATCAATATATTTAAGATTCTTTTTTAATTTGTTTCTTTCTGAAGTATTACTTAAAAATAATGTTGATTTATATTGTTGCAATGTTTCATTGTTTTAAATATATAAACATATCAGATGAACAATGTAAAATGAGTTTTGATTCTCTCAAGCAACATACTTTTCATAGATGTTTTTATACTAATAAAAACTAATATTCATGGTACATGCACTAGATTTTGAAATTTATTCATTGTTAAAATTTTAATTTTCTACCTGTTGGTGTTATAAAGATATCTATAATGTCAAAATCACAATAGATTTTATTATAAATTTTTAGAAATTATTAGAAAAAGAAAAAATTCGAGTTATTCAATCACTTGTCCCATACGAGTATGTCTCACTTATTTGCAGAATGTCTTTACATTTTTGTCATTTGTCTAAACTTTTAAATAGGAAAAGAACTGTTTGATAAGTTTTTCTTTCTGCAGAAAGTAATAATTACATTTAGAAATAACAAAAATCTACGAACAAAATTATATGAAAAGCAAAATACTTCTCCTAATAATTGTTATAATCTTTCTTCTTCTTTTTTTTGACTAAATAAACCATATTAAGTAATACGCAAGATAAGAAAAACCTGTCATTCATTGTAATAAGTGATATGTCAAGATGAAGAAAAGATTTCTAAACATAGATACACGATTTAGTATTATTTTTCTTTATAGAAAAGAAAAAAGAAGATTCAATTTGTAAATCACGCTCTAAGCTATACATTTTATCTGACATTACTAATAAAATACGAAAAAAGTCATTTCTAAAAATACTACAAGCATTTATGGTCATTTTGACATTATAGATATTTCTGTAATAATAACAATTAGGAAATTGTAATCTTATCATAAAGTACATTTCGACATCTAGTACGTATGCAATAAATGTCAACTTCTAACGGTATAAAAAACATATTAGAAAAGAATATTACTGGCAAGAATCAAAGCTTATCGTATATATCTAGAAAACTAATAGAAAAACTCATTTACCTTGTATGACAACAACAATTAAAAGTACGATTAAATTTATTTTTTTGTATTTTATTTGATAAGACAAATTTATTAGTGGAAGAGTTTTGTTTTGATAAAACTTTTCCACGTGAACGATTAGAATCTGTTGAAACACTTTCATCACAATCATTAATTAATGTTGTTCCTATGGTACTGAAATTTTTTGTTATACGATCATTTGAACTAATATTTGTTGTTATTGTTGTTTGAGGATTTGATACATGATTTTGAGCTTGTAAAAGATGTAGTTCTTTTCGACGTTTAACTGTTTCACGATAAATACGAAAATAAAGTAAACACATTAATGTTACTGGCAAATAAAAAGCAGCAACGGCTGTTGGTATTGCCACTAATATCCAAAACAAATTAGCAAACATATTGTTTTTATTTTTTTTTTATTCTATTACCTGTTGCTTTTGAAGCAAATGGCAATCGACATTCACCTTCTGGTAGTCTTTTATCAACATAAGGCCAAATCCAAATCCACTAGAAAAAAAAAAATTTTTATTTTTCTTTTCCTCAAATTATATGTGAACCTCAGTCTCTTACTGGTGTCCAAATAAGGCATGAAATAACCCAAGCAAAACCAATCATAATTGATGCACGTTTTGGTGTACGTTTCGACCGATATGTTAATGGTCGAGTTATAGAAAAATATCGATCAAAACAAATAAGTAAAAGATTAGCAACAGATGCATTTGACATTGTATAGTCAACACTAAGCCATACATCACATAGAAATGAACCAAATGGCCAACGATCTTGTTCAAAAAATGTAAAAAAAATTGGCATAGAAAAAAATCCAATCGTAAAATCAGCTACAGCAAGTGACAATAAAAAATAATTTGTTACTGTACGTAATTGTTTATTAATTCGAAATGATATTAATACAAGTAAATTACCACCAGTTGTTAAAAAAGATAATATTGTACCGCCAACTATAATAAGAATTGTTTTATACAATGCACCTGATGAAGATGTCCTCGTTATTGTTGTTGTACAATTATTAATTAAAATACACATACTATTTTCAGACATGCTAAAAAATACAATTATGAAAACTAATATATAAATATATATAAATGAATGAATTTCTTTTTTGTTCATTCAAGTACATTATTCTCGAAAAGTCATATTTTCTTAATAGAAAATTTGCTAGTCGAGTTTATAAGTCTATTGAGATTGAATTACTTTTGGGATTAATCCATACTATTTAAATATTTCCTACGTTGTCTTCTATAATCCATGTATTGCATGAATCATTGTTTATTTTTTGAAATGAGTAAATATAAATGATAGCTCTTTATTTATCTATAAGTTATATATGTATATATGTCTATATATACATATATTCGCGTACCTGCCTATTCTTAAAAATCAAATAATACTAACGATTATTATAAAAGCGAAGAACAACAAAAAAAATCAGAATAACACACTGATTTGCATTTAGATGAATTGGCTAACGTAATCAAATCAAATAGTATTTCCATTCTATTCGCTTTTCTTTTAGAACATTTCACACAATTCTATCAGAATCGATCAGATCAATTTATGTTACTGTAGCGAAAAACAAAGCAAAACCTTCGCCTGAAAAACAACATCAATATAAAAATATGTTTTGTCATTGAACTAGGACAATCGTTGGATACTTTATTTTTGGCACAACATTATCCAACATATGGATGATAATATGTTTCATTTGCGTAATGAGAAAAAAAGAGAAACAACATAGGAAAGAAACAAAAACAAAAAAAAAAGATACTTCTATGAGCACTTTTTCTTTCACGAAGGTGTATATAAATCACCTTGGAAAAAAATAATCATACCCGCTTGCTTTTCTTTTCCATTTGTAAAAATATCAAAGCTATCGAATAGGCAACTGCTGTCGTCTGTTGATTTATAGAGATGCTAGTGTACACTCTAGAGGTACCGTACGGTGGAAGAAAAAAGAGAGGAGAGAGAAAATTCTCTCTTTCAGATAGGCAAAAGATCTTGGGTAATTATTTTTTCTCTCGATAATGTTTACTCAACAAATCCTCCGTCCCTAACCTTTTTTTTATACAGACACACACATATCTTTCTTCAGCGAATGAGCAAAATTCCCTTGTCGAAATTAGCATTTCACATTTGTTGATATTCTAAAAATATTTAGAGCAATTGTATTATATTATTTTTAGCAGTCGACCTATTTTCTTATCATAATCTTCTATGTTACAGTTTGTGAATTATTTATAGTTAATAGATTGTCTCGTGTATATCTTTTTCTTTTCTATTGTTTTGCTTGTCTTTGATAGGATATTTAGAGGAGTATTGAAATACTATCGTATATAAAAGTTCGTTGACAGATTTTATCAGTATCTATCAACTAGCTTAGGGAACTGTTGACATCTTATCTAGGTACTGAAATAAAATATCTCTTTTACAGAATAGCGCGTGAACACATACACAATCATTAATGATAAGTGTTAACGTTATAGTTTATATGAGCAATCGTATATATTAACAGACATATCTTTTCTTAATATAAACTCACCAATCCAATGACAATAAGTATCTTACTGTCTTTTCTATAAGTCAGTCAGCTTTTTGTCTTATGATTCAATCTACTTTGATGTTGGCAACAAGAAACACATAACTCCTACTTTAGACATTACAACAAAATCGAGAGAGAGAGAAAAAAACAAAAAGAATGCGAGACTATCATATAGAAGCAGCAATACTCCTCTGAATACCATTGCCTGAACATACTTTATTTATGATGACGTTGTTTGATCTGCGTGATTTGATGACGGAAATACTTTATATATATATATATATATATATTTCATATTGATTCGATGATAAAGATAGTTTTTTTGCATTTGTGTGAACAACAACTCTCTTTTCAATAGATCAGCTAGAACTATAGCAAATACCCAACAGTGCTCTCTATTGAGCGAATTCGCTTGCTGCTGTCGTCAACAAGTATGTTTGCCAACCATTTTAACGAAATATGCAAACTCGTTTAATGAATAATGTGCTTTTACATTTTTGCTCTGAGTCATATATATTATATTTAGTTGATCTATTCATTTGATTATAAGATCAATATTTGATAAGAAGTAAGAAAGTAAATCAAACATCACAATATAACAGGTGATCAATTAGTTTATTTATTCATAAGTGAAAAAAAAAACGAAAATACAAGTTATTAATTATTGTGATGTCAATTCGAATAATATTTGATTTCAAATGAGAAAAATAACACCAAGAAAAACTGTTTTTCTTTTTCTTAATGCTAAATAAACAAATATTTCGTATATTTAACACTGGATAAACTATATTCTAATTAGAGAATAAATAATATCAGGCATTCCGCCTGGTGATCTACCAATTATGAACAAGCGGAAGGATAGGAGTACTAGAGAAAGAAAACATTGATTTCGTCCGAAAAGTATTATCAAATAATATCAATATATTCTCTTCTGATGTATTGATAATCAACAAAGTCAAGAAGACATAATAAGAGACCTTATGGTTTCACTCGACAATATTCTCCATGCTGTTTGTGTCTCTGTCAATTTTTTGTTGCTTCATCAATTAATCACTCATCGGACATCTTTCTTCAGTGAATACGTGTAAATCTGTTGATTTCTAGTTTCAGATCAATGGAGAAAAGCATTCTTTTTCTTTCCAATAACAATAATAAATCTTAATGGAAGAAGACAAGCTGAGAACATATTTTGAGTGCTTCAATGTGAAATCAATGTGACAGACGAAAGAAAATAGAACGATTATGAGGATTTGAACCATACTGTACTATACAAGGTTTTTATCAAGAGCTTAAATGCTGCATCGGACATTGACTTTTTTTTTATACATACCTCAAGGGTTTTCTTGTACGAGAATACAATATAACGAGTAATATACACGAAGTTTGCTACGATAGGCAAGGAAAGAAAATAAACAGTCGATTAATAAAAACTATTGACACAGGTCATTTTGATTAGTTTTATCATCATAATGAAAAGTACCTTGTGCGAATAAAGCATGAAGATTGTTTTTTGCTTTCTGTACATGATTCTTATATAAATAATGATTTGTTTCTAATTATCACGACAGAATGATGAAGAAAAAACGTGAGAATATGTAAAAAAAAAACGGAGGCAGAAGAAAAAAAAGAGGAAAATATTGATCAATAAGTGACATGCAAAGTCAACGTTACTATGCGCAAAATTACAAAGGCAAACGTTGACAAAAAAACAGAATGACTAAGTATATTTATACTTGAACGTTTACTTACTTACCGTTGTTCATATATGTTCGATTAAGCTATGCTGACATGAACCAAGCATATATTGTTTTGTCTTTCTTTAGTTGTTTTTTGTAAATATAGAGAAACCTTTCTTATTGGTATATGTCTATTTCTAAGATATGGTTTTTATACATATTTATATGGATGTCCTTCAAGTCTTTACATCAAAACAATCCTTGTTTTTTGTTTCCAATTGGCATTATCCAAAAGAATAATAAACACATACAGTGTACATACAATGGAATGGTACATTAGGATGATCAGATCTTATAAAATAAGATTTATTTTATTTTAATAATTATTATATGAATTGTAGGCATCGTAGATAAATACAAGTAAATATTCATAATCAATTATCAATGCTATTAGTTATATATTTTTATTTGATCCAACGATAAATTGAATGAGATATTGAAAATAGATATTTGAAAATGAAACAGAAAATATTTTCAAATATTAATCAAAAATTTTTCATAAATTGAAAAAGTAAAAAATAATTACGCATACTTCATAACATAGATAAATATTCAATTATTTTTCTACATGAGAATGTTGTGCCCTTTTTTCTTTGACGTCACAACATCATCAAAATGAAGAATTATGATTTCTCTATGAATATTTGTTAAAATAGCACAATTCTTTTTTCCAGTAACTTAGCAGTGTATATGAAAAAAATGCATGTATGTGTTCTTTGATTTCTGTAATTCTACGTTCTCACAATAGAAAAAATAGTCGAGCACTTGGATTCAAAATTACATCTACCAACATTTACCTTCAATTACACGATAGTACTTGTCTATTTATTAATCTTCGGCGACTAAATTATTATTATAGATATTGAGATTGAATGGATAACGTATTAATTTAACCTTGACAGCATTTTTGTCATTAATTATTCTTTTTTTAGAATATTACGTTTCTTCTTAAATAATTAAACATTCATATTCTTTTTACTAGTCTGTAAAAATCAAATTAATCACATCAAATCGAAAATCTCTTTTTTTTTATATTTTGAAAAAATTTATGCAATTTAAATTGAAACAATATTCTTAATTATTGAAATCATTGAAAATCATCTAAAGAAATTAACGTCGACGAAATTGACGAACAATAATGATATAATTCAGAAAAGTTACCATCTTAACTTTTTTTAAATTTTTTATTCGCTTTACCAATAAAAGAAACAAGCGAAATGTATCACTCATTTTCAAGAAAGCAAAAGAAACATTCTTGTTTTTGTAATCATTTCAAAACAATAAGTATGATAAGCAAAAAAACAGAAGCTTATCTTCTTGTTTGCACTGTTTTCCAGGTATCAAGTAAATAATTTCACTTGCACTTTTTTTTGAATTCTCTGTCTTGTTAATAATAATAATCATTTGTTTTATAAAACATTTCTCTATTGTTGTTTATTATTAATATTGAAAGGAAAGATACACGCATAAACGTTACATAAATATAAATAGAAAATAGAAAGAAAAACGAATTTTGTCTGTGATTGATTGGTCTTCTACTATTGTGTAATTTTTCGAAATACAAAGAAACTGCCAACTGTTCCAATTAAGAGGCCAAGAACAACAAAACCAATCCAAAATCCAGTTACTTTTGAACTTATATTAGTAATTTTTTCTTGTTTATTTTGAGCAACATTAAGTGACTTGGCACGTGCACGTAGAATAACTTGCTTTGATCCATCATATCGAGCACGAAAACCAAGACCACCAGCATCAATTACTGTTGCAAGACGTTCGATAACTTTATCTAATGAGTATTCTTTTAATGGAGCTTCCACAGGTCCAGTACGTGGTGGCACATCAAGTAATGTAAACGTAACTAAAATATCATTATTATCTTGATCGACAATTAAATTTGAGATACGTATTGGTCGAACAAATATTGTAAACATTAATGTTTCAAAGATGTGAAGACGTAAAAAGTTTTGATTTTGAAATACTGGATACTTCTTATCATTTGCTATTTTAAATGACAAAACTGCAAGATTGTAATTTGCTAGATGAAAAAAAAGAAAGAAAACAATCAAAATTAAAAGAAGTCAATAAACATATTGAACTTAAATTTTACCAGCTGGACCCAAAGCACGATAACAATTAGCTAATGTATAATCAATTTCAAATATTGTCATTGGACGACGACGAAAATTGAAAAAATCTTTAAAACAAAAAGCAATATATTTTATTTTAATTTTTTTTGCAAATGAACTTTACTTACTGAATTCAAAAGAAAAAAGTAGACCTACAGATGAATATCGTTTTATGACTAATTTCGTAGGAATCGGCTGTTGTAATTCTTCATGATTAACCCTCGATGCCCAATACCATTCTCGATGTTCAGCGGTATTATTTACTCCTAGTTTTTCACCAATCCATACATGACACCAAACTCGATCACGACATTGTTTTTCACCAGTATATTGGTATGTCATATCATCCATTAAAAGTGTATGTTGAGGACTACCCATTTGTAATAAATTTGGATGATCAGTAGTAGGTACAGCGTCATTAAAGTCTGTATTAATATCACGAACTGTACATTGATCATTGCTATGATTATATTGATAACTAAGACCAACAGCAAAATCATGAATTTCAGTATAATGAAACCATCTTGATCCACCATTAGGATCAGCATACCAAACATCAAAACGAGTAAATTGAAATTCTGTATCATATAAATTATGTGTACTAATTATGGAACTTTTATTAGAATTTAGTGCGAAAAATTCAGAATTTGCGCTAACTCTTTCAGGAATATTCGATGGTACAGGAAGTGTTGATATTCGATCTGCACAAAATACACCCGTTGGTGTTTCTAATGCTTGACGTTCTTCACCTCTTCCGGGATTAGGTGTATAACGGAAAATATTGTACGTATATGATTTTCGACCTTTACTTGGATGTGTTACAGTCACATCTAATTTTAAAACAATACTTGTATTTTTTGGTAAATAAGCTTGAAATTTGTTGACATCAGAAACGTAATAAGTAGCTGATACTGTTGCTTTGATATCCCTTACATAAAAACATGATTTAAATCGATTTGCAGGTATACCACGTGAAATTTCATCACCATCATAACGAATACCCCATTGAGAATTAATTTGATTATTTGGATCATAACCGAGAAGAATTGATGGTTTAAGTAGCAGAGTATTTGGTAGAACAATACTTGTTTCTGATTGAGAAGTAATCGGCTGTCGTGAACATATTGGCAGTGCACTTTGAGCGACAACAGCAGTTTGCACGTCGAATGTTTCATTAGTTACAAAATTCCAATAAGCTTGTACTTGAGCTAGGAAACGAAAAAACTAAATAAAATTACAACGCTATTGTAACAAATAATAGGTTACCTGCTGTGGAACTTATTGCGATAGCGTCACGCGTTGTTGAAAAAGCTTGTGATAATTCCATTACATCATTTTCTGAAACATATTCGGTCATTATTTCAAAGCGTTGTGGTATAGGGCGCCAATTTGAATCCAGCGTGAATGGAGTCGGTCCATCCGGACACAAAATGGTATCAAATTCTCCATGGCTTGTAGTAAAAAAAACGATGGCTATAGCTAATACATATGCTGGTTGTAGAAACATGCTTTCGATAGATTCTTCTTATTTCTTTAGTCAAAATAAGCGCATCACTAAATGTTTTAACAACAATAAAAATTTCAGTGAGATGAGTTGTGTGATAAGAAAAAGAGATGTTTGTTTGCTCATATTATCTATTAAAAATGCGACGCCTTTATAAGTAACATCGCTTTTTTTTACATAGATGGTCGCTTTTTTACTTTGAAAAGATGTCCAATGTAGCTTGTTATCTATGTAGCAATCTATGTCATATCACATCTCTTGTTGCTTGTTGTTTGTCTTAAGTTTTCGCATACCCATTCAAATATACTCAAAGAAGAAAAAACAAGAAGAAAAAATGAATATATCCTATATTTAAACAAGATAAATATATTTAGATATGACCTTGAAATAAAAACATCAATACCATTGATGTAATAGTATTAAATATAATCATTTTTTTCCATCTATATATTTTTATCATAGAAGTTATACAACATATCAAAAAGAAAAAGCGTTATGATATTAACTCAAATACACCTGTTTTAGTAATACAATCATCAATGCTTTTGTGTATGCTATTCATTATATCCTTGGCCTAATATCAGACGACCCCGAAATAACTATGTCTTCATTTGAGCAGCAAGATTTGTTCTATCTGGTACAGCAGATGGATCGTACAAATAAGAAAAAAAATAACGGATATGTTTTATGTTCTGTTTTTTTTCCCTCCTCTTTTTCTTTGCTTAAGCAAAGAGAAGACGTTGTTTTTTCCGATGGATATAAAGGAAAACGAGAATAAATGCTTATTTCTGCAATAGTATGTATACAAGAATTCTGCTAGAAGAGAAAAAAAAAGGAACCTATTTGTCAGTCATTTAGTTACTTGGAAAAAAAGAAGAAAAATGTATGCTCCTCGTGCAAAATTTGAGCGTATCTATATTGTATCACCAATAAAAGTAGCAATTATATTTTTAACAATGCTTCATTGTCTTTTTATTTTAATTGCTGTATTAACGTCATTTTGGATTAAAACAAAACATGATCATTATGGACCATTATACAGTTGTGTAAAACGTCTTGATTGGAAAAAATCTTCAACACATCCTGTTACAGTAGAATGCGGCCTTAATCAATATCTTCATGATAATAATCTATTATGGATGCCTATAACAGCTGTATTAATAACTCTTTCATTTATAATTGCTTTTATTTCAATTATTATAGCAAGTTTATCATTTGTTAAAACTTCATTCACAATTCGTCGTCGTTATTGGTTATGTACAATTATATTATTACTAGTCGTTTTTTTACTTGATTGTTTCGTAATAATATTTATTCCATTGAGTCATCATCATCAAGTTTATTATCTTCAATGGGCATATGGTGTACATTGTGGTGCAACATTATTTATTTCAGTATCGTTAATAACAGCAATTCTTACACACAATACGGATGATATTCAATATGTTGAAGCAGTAGATGAGTCGTCAATTGATAAATAAATATAATGAAAAAAAAAGAAATACAAAAGCAAATGCACAAATTTCGGGTTTTTTTTTCTTATTTCATTGTAGTAGAATTATATTTTCCTTTTTTTTGTTTCGAATTCTCTTAATGCTTGTTGACAAACTTCAGTCACTATACGTGTACGATCAACATCAGGAACATGATGAGTTTTTAATGTATGGCGTACAGCATTAAGATTTCTAAATAATACAACAACAAAAACAAATTATTTCAATGAAATCTATGTTTTGTCTTTTTTCTTTTTCTCCTTTGATGATCATACCTTAATAAAAGAAACATTGTTTTTGGCATTTGTTTCAGAATACGAAATAATGCAGTACGTTTTTTATCCATTAATTTTCGAAAATGTTTTTGTAATTGTGTACGTTGTTCATTTGTTAATTCATTATTATATTCATCTTCAGTTGGCATTAGAAATTTTCCACTTTTTATAGCATACATTTGTATTTCACGTGGTAATGGATCCCAATCATTTGCGTATGATGGAATAGTATATTGTTGTGTATCAGCTGATGGCTTCATTGTAAATAATGTACAAAATAATTCATAATCTTTGTCTGGTGCACCTAATGCCGTAGCAGATTGTTTCATTCGTACATGATCATTATTTAATGTTGCCATCCATAAATCACAAAAAATTTTACGCTCTTCACTTAACAAATTTTGATAAAGACCATGATCAAGAAGAACAATTTGTGCTTGTGGAAAATCTTTTGATTTACTTTTTTGATTTATTTTAACATGAACATTACCAGCATGTGGATCAGCGTGTACAAATCCAGTACGAAACATTTGTTCAGCAAATAGACGAATTAATTTTTCATCAATCTGTAGAACAATATATATATATATTGAAAGTTATTTTTATTTGGAAATTATCATGAAATCCTTTGTTAATTCAATAATAACATCAAAAGATAGTGTGTATACATAGATACAAGCAGTAAAACGTTTTTACGTGAGCACATTATTATACTAGCCAGTCTATTGCCACTCAAATTAGTTGCACTAGAAAAGAGTCCCTCAAATATGAGTACTACTTTACCCTGAGCAATAGACGCTAATTTCTGATCCCATTAGTAATAACAACCTCTGTAATGTGAGCAACATATGTCATATCACTCGTGCGTGGAAAGAGGAAAAAACTGATATTATGCGTATTGTGTTATGATAAACAATCATTGAATGCGTATAAACAGAAGATGGACTTAATCATGCATAGTAAAAAGAAAAACAAGCTATATTAGACAACAGTAACAGTTCTTGCTGTAATATAACGTCGTTCGTATGTTAACAGCTCGTAATATTAAATCTTGTCAACACGTACTGATTTGCCTCTAGTTAAAAAAGTTGAACTAGTAATTTCTTGAAAGAAAGAAAAAGTTCATTTTGCAAAGCTAACAAGCGATTGCAACTGAATACTTATAGGTTTCAAAAAAATAAGAAGCTGAAAACTTCCAATAATGAGCATCTCCATAAAATGAATGCTTTTAGCCGGTCTCGATGATACCCACAGTAGATTAGTTTCATTGTATGTATGTATAAAACGATGAATTCATTTCGTACCGATTTTCAAATATTATTAGGTGTGTTAAAAGTATTTAGCTCTTATGAAGTATCATGAGTTAAGAATATTAAATCCTTGTTCTAGGTCTTGTAAGATATGACAATTGATATCTGTTTATTATCGAATGTAGTATCTCATAAATCTCAACAGATATAAATAAAATCTAATTAGTTACAGTAAAAAGCAGCTGTATTAAGCTTTACTTTTTTAATTCTACAAAAATAGCATTGAAAGCTTTGTTTTATCAAATAAAAAAATTATTTATGGAAGTAAATCAAACTTATATGTCATTTTTGTTTTTAGACATTGATATAATTATTATTCTGTTAATTAGACATTATCCAAACAAAATCAGTTCCGTAGAATTTTATATTATACATTTTGGTTACAAATTCTTGTTATATGCTTGTTAATGAATGTTGAAGTCTATCTCAAGCGATTATGGGCAAATCACCTAAGGGTAAGTGAAAGCAATTGTCACACCTAAAACAATTATTAGTGGCGCACACAAGATTAAAAACATGTTTTTCTTTTATAATAATAAGGTATTACAATATATTACCACGCCTTAATGTAAAACGCTGGCTCACCTATACAAATTCTAACTAAAAAGTGATAACTTTGTCGTAGTTTACAATTTAATTCTATGAAAAAGTTACTTTCCTATGATGAAAATCAATATCCAACCATTGCAACTATTAGCGGAAGTTCTTCATGTTAAAAATATGTATCGTTGTCTAACTATTTTTATCTTAGATAACAAGACTTTTATTAGAATGAGATGAAAATACATAGCAAGAGAAGTAAATAACAGATAACTTGACATGTATCTGTTTTTCCTATCAATGGCCACAACAAAAGGCATTATCTGTCATAAATCATTGAAAGATAAGTCAACTTGTGTTGTATAGATTACAAAAGAATTGAACTTACATCTTTTAATGACAGATTTACTTTTTTTAATTCATCTACGCGATCAATTGTTATACCTTCGACATATTCGTAAGTCAAAATGCGCTATAAAATAAAAAATTAAATCATTAAAAATAAATTCATTTAAATACTTATTACTTTCTTTGTTAAATTCCAATGAACTTTTGGTACATAAACATAATCTAAATGTTTAAGAGATTCACGAGAACGTTCAGCATTTCTTGCTTCATGAAGAAAATCTAAATATTAAAAATAGAGTAAAACTCTTGTTGTTTTTTGTATCAAAAAAGAATCATTTACCTAATTCTAATGTTAAATCATCATGTAATTCCTAATTCATTAGAAACATTGGTTTTCTTTTTCATATTGATTTTTTTTCTATAAACTTACATCTAACATCCAAGCCTTAAAAAAGAAAATAAATTAAATAATTGACTTCGTATTAATATTCATTAATTCTTACCAAAGTCCATGTTGGATTAAGCCATTCAAAAAAATTAAATAAAATTCTCATCCAAAAAAAAGAAAAAAAGAAATTGTTGAAAAATAAAGAATGATTTTTATTTTTTTTTCGCTTAGTTTACCGTGGCAATATCAGTTTCATAACGTTCACGTAAATCAAAATATTGTACTTTAACAGCAACTGGTTCTCCCGCTTTTGTTTCAGCTCGATAAACTTCAGCTAATGAAGCTGCTGCTATGGGATTTCGATCAAATTTTCCAAAAATATTTTCTGGTTTATCACGAAAATATCGTTTAAATAAAGAATCAATCTAATAAAAGAATTTTGTATAAATGACAAAGACAGAAAAACAAACTATTTACTCCGCCTTTTTCTCGACGAAGAGCATGTTCCTATTAAATCATACATTATACCAAAATAATCGAAATTTTTTTAGCTAAACTTACTTCAAGAATTTGTAGTTCTTCATAATATTCCAATGGTATAACTTCTGGAAGATTTATCTAAAGAAAGAAATTGTTCTTATTGATCTTTTAGAAGTTATTGACATTTTCATAGACATTTATCTACATGAAACAGATACGTACAAATGCTTGACCAATTTTGACATATACACCACCGGCATCAATACAAAAATTAGCCAAACGTTTACCATTTCGACGTCGACATGTTTGTAATGCAGTTCTATATTCGTCAGTACCCTAAACAATAATATATTTTTATTTATATTCAATTCGAAACATTCGTTTTAAACTTTTCTCTTGAATAATAAACTCAATTTTTGATCGATCATAGATTCTATACCAACTGAAACAGCTCTGAAATTTCAAATCATACATAGATAATAAAATTCAAAATAATAAGCTTTACCGAATGGCTCGTATAATACTTCCTAAGATAATTTTATGCTTTCGTCGTTTTTCAAAGTTTGTTGAGAAACGATAGAATAAAACACTTGTTATTGGTAGTCCAAATAGTAAAACATATCGTTTAATTGTCCATCGACGTGTTGGTGTGTTTGACTGTGACTGAATATTTGTCGTGAAATAACGAGAAAATAATTGTGATCTTTGTTTACATAATGATAAGTCTTGTTTATATAAATTTATCAATCGACAAGTAATATAACGACAATGCATTTTTAGAAGTATCTAAAAATAGTTACAGAAGTTTTCTTTTCTTATAACATATGGAATAGAAAGTGACTGCAAGAACACATCCTAGATATATGAAAATCCCATGAGACCTATCACAATTAAATTTCCTTGCATGAATAAGTACGAATAATGAATCGTAGGAGCACATTGATGGGTAACATTTACAATTCTTGACCTGGAAAGGCCATTCAATCGAAAAAAATAAACACCTTGTTCGATTACGACTGATAACCAGTAAAACGACTTTGAAAGCAGATGACGCTATGAATCAATAGTTTAGAAAATTGACGTAGTCCGATGGGTATTTCGATACTCTCCATAGAGTTCTACTCTTCTTCAATTATTACTGAGTACGAGTTTGAAATAGAGGTGTTATATTAGCATTTGTTTTAGAATTAACTTTAAAGATTTTGATATTATTTGTATTAGAATTAATTAATACTAAGCTTTTAGCATTAATTTAGCATTATTTTTAATCCTAAAACATATGCTACTTATGATTATACTTTTCAGAGTTTATATTCGAAAGTTTTCAAAGGTTATTTTAACCGTAAGTACTATTCGCAGTGCAGAACAAAATTGTTCGACTTTAGAAACTACTGGGCTTAAAATATTCGAGATCTAGTCATCAGTTATATATATATATTAGCATTTAAAATGATATTAATTTAATGCTAACATCTCGGAATTAATTAATTATAATGCAAATAATATCAAACGATGAAGGTTAATTATAATATTAATGCCTAAAGCATTAGCATTCGAATTAATGAAATTTCTCTAAACTTTGGTTCGTATGAAAATGTCAATAAATAAAAATATCCAAAAATTCGAAAGTTAAAAGCTAGAATTGTTGAAAGGTATCCGTTCGAAAAAATATTCATGAAGATGTCTTTAGTATATGATTAACATTCGATTGTGTTCTTGTAGGTGTGAGTGAGAAGATGGATCTATATGTATGGATCTTTTTTTTCCCGCACAACACGCAAACCCTAACTGGTTTTGTCTTTTTTTTAGTGACAAAAAAGATGATCTAACATGAGACTTGAGTTACGCTGATCAGCTGATTTCTCGAGAATTCTTTTAATTATCTTTCGTCCGTTCTTTTTTTAGTAAATAAATTTGATGCTATTCAAACTACTCATCTTTTTATACATGCCCATAAGAAAGTCTGATGATGCCTCTTTCGACATTTCTACTTTCGACCAGAATTGAGGTTACCATTAATAAATGCTAATGCTAATTGTAATACGACAACTCTAGTTTACCATTCGTTTAAACAAAATGACCGCGCTCTTCAAGTGATTTGAGAAATGATATGTGTAGTTCATCGCAATCTGAACAAGACTTACATAATATTTTAGTGAAGTTTAGCTAAGCAATATTGGTATAACTTTTAATAATCTAAATAAAATACAATAATGATTTCAAAAAGAATATTTACAGTCAAATAATTCTTTAATCAAGTTAACTTGTGAATATATACTTCATTGAAAATTTTCTTATTTCAAGTATTCGAAATAAAAGAAAGTTAATTTCAATGATAAGTCATCAACAATTTCAGTTATAAGTCAAATGTATAGTACCGATACGTAGTTTCAGTTAACATATATATTGATTTTTCAAATTAGTAGACAACTAAATTTAGAACATCTTTTTTTTTCTACAAGTAAAACAACGAGACCAAATTTACTTTCAATGACACAAGAAGAATAGTCATAATCACCGCCAACAACAGTTATAATTCTTGATGAAACACATACGATGACAACGTTTATGCAAATTAATAAATCTTTCACAACAAAAAAAAGCATTAAAGTTAATTGAGCATAAAACTTAACTAACTAGGAAGTTCAAGTGTCCAGCAAAAATGACATCGACTTGTTTGTTAATAAAGTGCACATATTCACTTTCGAGGTGTATGCTGTAGTAATAGATCTGTGAGCACTGTCAAGAAAATATGAATTTTCCTCAAGTTAATATGCACCAAAAGATGCGATAAGTTTTCGAATATTCTTAGTTATCCACATTTCCATGATTTAGTTATTCATTTTTCATTCACAGTGTTGTATGCTGCTATGGTGTTGTGTTTAAAAGAAGATGGTCTACAAATGATTCAACTAAAAGTTCTCTTGGATAAATAGGATCTGTAATCATTAACATCATTACATAAAGTTCATGAATAAAAGATTAACCTAAATTTATGACTCCTCTTTTTTTGCAGAACTTATTAGAAACAGCTGAGAAGACAACTAGAGTAGAGCAAATAAAGCTGGTCAATGAGCTATTAACCTCTGATGCCCCTTTCGACTCATCTAATTGTATTGATTAAACATTAAACACATGAATGAACAGTATATTTCGAGTACCAGTAGTTGATATATAGATAAATGTTCAGTAACATATATGACAACATGAAAAATCTTCAATTCTCTCGAATTCACCAGTATTTTCTGATCTTTTATGAGCAAAACAAAAAAGCTTTCCAACATAAATATGTGTTTACTTTTTCATTTTCAATAACAGCATATGTCGATTGTTATTGTTTCAAAAGAAACTTGATCCGTTCGCATGTATACCGTTTAGTATGTGACGATGAACGAGAATTGGTAGTTGAAGAAAAAGTGTTAACGAAAATTGACGATTGAGAAAGTTCACGAAAAATAGAATTAGAATTACAAAAAATAATTGATGACGTTTTAAGTATTAATGCATGAGCGAAGCTAGGCAAAAATTATTGTTAAATATGGAAGAAAGTTTTTTCAAGTAACGTTAATATTATCGTTTGCTTAATACATTTGCTGTTTATTGAAGAAAGGTTTTAGCCAATGAAAGAAATACATGAGATTTTCGAAAGAAAAAATTTAGTGGAAATTCGCAACATCTTTGGAAAATTTTATATTTTATTCAAGATTAGGTCTATGAGCCTCCATCCTAATATCGAATCAGCCCAACACAGCCCATAGTTTTGTATTCAAAAAAAATTTGACCCCATCTATTAAGATCCTTAAGTCAAATCATAGGTTCGTCACCATTTCGTGAATCTCTTTGAAATCGAATATAAAGCAATGATAACGAATCCACTAAAATTTATAATCTTTGACGCTTAAAATTTGATAAGAAAGACACCGTTTTATAGCCTATAAACTGTTTAAAAGTATGGCCTCACATGAAATTTTCTTCACAATGAAAAGCTAGAACTTCATATTGTATATTTTCAAATTCAACTGACGATGAGTGACAAACGAAATCGGCAAATATTAGTGAAGTGTCTCGTTTTAAAAACATTCAATTTTTGCAATGAACAAATGCTTTTCGAGTTCACTACACGGCTTTTAACAAAGAGAACATTCTTTCCGTTTACACGCTGTAATTTCGGAAATTTTAAATTTTTCTTGTTGAATTTTTGCAAAAATAATCAATATTGTTGTAATTTGTGAGACGTAGAAAAAAGTTCATGAAGTATTTATGCAATATTTACACGTTTTTTTTTTGTATTATTTCAATCAAAGAACTAAAAGCAAATACTTGGAGTGCTTTTTTGCTTCTAGAACAAAAATTGAAAGAGAAGAATAAATTTGTTAAAATTTTTCATAAAAGTTAAAATATATAAGCGTAATTGATTTTGTTGACACCTAGTGAAGAGAAGCATAAAATATAAATGCGTGAAAAAAAAGAAATGAGGAAAATAATGAAATTTGTTTTTTGCTTTATAATTTTAATGTTGTTCATCTTTTGTTTTAATTCCTTTTGTACTTCTAAGATTTGTTATTGTTTCAGATTTATCTGGAATATTTTTTAGCCATTTTCCATCAAGAAATTCATAATCATAAGCTAATGATTCACCAGAAGAATTATTCGATTTTGTTTTATCAATTAGACGTTTATCATTATTTTCTATTTGTTCTACTTGACCTTGTTTTTGCTGATTCGATGTATCATATTCAAAATTAGCATATTGTGTACGATCTTCATCGATTTGATCTTCATCGTTAGCAATAATGCCAAGTTTATTTGCAAACCAACGAAATTTATCAACAATTCCTTCTTTAATTAAATCAAAGCACATTGCTAATATTGCCAAACCAAAAAGAATGTAAATTGAAGCAAGCAAAAAACGTAAACCAGATGTTGAACCTGATGTTATACCGGGTACCTTAAACAATCATATAAATAGTTAAAAGAACTGTTAGCGTCATCCCTGTGGGAGTAAAATGTAAAGTATGATGTAACTGCTGTTGCTAATCATAGGAAATTGCTTTATTCTATCTATTTTGAAACATATTTCTTCACGATCTCTTTATTTAATCTTTCAGAAATACAATAAAGAAGTAGTTCAAAATATTAGAACAATATGTCATTGATATACGGTCTGTGATCGTATACCATCAACGACTGTGATGATCTCAGATTGGCGTCTGCCATAGTTTATGGAGGGAAGGATGAGTCCGAATTTCTGCCGTATATTCTTCAACATTCCTTTTAAATCATGTGTCACAGAAAGAAAATTTATTAAAATATTTTACATACATAATCACCAAAACCAATTGTAGCTAACGTAATATAACAAAAATAGACTGATTGAGTCATTGTCCAACCTTCAAATCTATTAAACATAAATGCACCTAAACAAATATAACCAATAATGATTAAAATAACTGCTCCAAATGGTACACGATTTTCCATTCTATTCCAAATATCATCTTTATAATCATAATCATCATCATCACCATCATTATCATAATCATTTTCATCGTTATCAGTTAATTTCCCATTAAAATGACGATTCGCTTCTGGCCAACTTGGATCAATTGTTGCTGTACCAACATAATCAATACCATGAGGATTTTTTATTTTTCCTGTATGAATTCGACGGTTTTGACGACGACGGTTACGCACATAAGCACGACAAACACAACAAAAACAATGAAGTAAACCCGAATACATAAAACGAAATATATCACCAAGTACAGAACTTATATTTGCCAAACAAAGAAGAAATATTGGTATACCAATTAATGCATAACAAATACATGTTATTTGTCCTTCCCTTTAGAAGAATAAATACAATGAATTTTTTATTATTATTTACTTCTCTTACCATGATGTTGGTGTTACATGTCCATAACCAATTGATGTTATAACAGTTATTGTAAAAAGTAATGCCGATGGAAAATTCCAATTAGATGACGTTGTACAATCTTGTCCTTTATAACGTAATTCAGTTAGACGTTCATATATATCATTAGTAAAATTAACTAAATAACCAGCAATTTGTGCATACATTATTGTTGTATTATCATCTTTTATAACAACATAATTATATATTGTTTCAGAAAGATTTGATATTGAAATATTTTCACTTACTATATATAATATAGACAACATGAATAGGAAGAATTCAAAAATTTTTAAAAATACGCACAATTTCCTTGTTGACAATTTTGTAATTCAATATATTGTTCGAGTAATATAAAAAGAAAAGCTCCGCCAATACTATAAGCAACAACAATTAGGACTAGACCAAGATTTGAAAAAAGAAATTGAATAAATGAACGATAAAATGATCGACGTCGAACAGTATCTGTAGTTATTGGTGCAACAAGATGAGTTGCTCGATCAACAGCCATTTTGTTTTAGAATAGGTTTTTTTCCTTTGTTAAAACAATGAAGTAATGAAGATGAGAAAAATGAGAAAATGATAAAGTGAGTTTTATAAATTGCTTAAGTAAAGTAAATGACTGCCAGTAAATGTCGAGGAAAAAAAGGAAATAAATAACACATAGTCAATTGAGTGAAAAAGGAAAATAAAAGAAAAAAAACTAATGGAAAAAAAGAAAGTGACGTTAATGAATATTTTTTTTTCTATTTAATGCCAATAGGAAGAGAATGTTCAAAAAGAAAGTCTGATAAATATGAGTTATTATGGATCGTTTTCATAATGCTTATAGACAGGATTCAAGTTTTTTTTTAATTTTAAATATCAATGCAATGCATACTTCAATAGAACTCTTGTATTCTATATAATCTGGAATGTGTAAAACGCATTTATTTTTGACTTTCGTTGAAGTTTAATTTCTGCAGTCATACTTTTTGAATCTTTTATGTAGAAATTTTTAAATGGTTTTGCGTTAGTAAATTCTCTCTTTTTTTCCCTTCATCATTTTCATATTTTATTCTTCATCACCTCTACTTTTTTTGGCTCACTCATTCATATAGCAGAAGAAGCAAAAGAACAAAAAAGCAAATATAAAAATGCTTGATGATATCAATGATAATTGATATAAGTTGTTAAATGAATACTTTTTCTAGACACAAAAAATAAGAACCATAGACAAACAAGGCAAAAGAAAAATTTCGTGGATTGAACGCTTCTTTTTTTCTTTTTGGTTTTCACACAGAAAAACCAACAAATAAAACACAAAACACAAGAATAGTGACCAGAAATAGTGGAGAAGTTCAAAGAATAAAACGAAAGAGAAAAAAAAAACAAACATGAAAACGATGCTTTTTGTGGTTGTTGTACTTGATGATTAATAATTTTTTTCTTGTTTAGAAAATTTTGTTTTGTTCTTAATTGCTTTTTAGACCGATGATTGACCAGCATCTTGTTCATCATCTTGATTTTCATTGTAATTCTTAAAAAAAAAAAAATAAATTTTCAAAAATACAACAAGTCGTGAAAGAATAATAGATTGATGTTTGAAAAAAAACTTACAGCATTATTTGGATCAAAATGATTACCTTGGCGAGCTCCTCGGAAGAATCGGCCACGGCCACGGCCACGACCTCGACCACGACCACGGAACCCTAAACAACAGGATGAATTATTTATTTTGACCTTCAGCACTGCTTTTCAGAACATCTGAAGAAAATAACAACGACTTACCACCACCAAATGCTGGACCCATTGGACCTGGCATGGGACCCATAGGACCTCCCATCATTGGAGCACCAGGACCGCGGAAGATGCGTGGTCCTCGGCCTTAAATTTTAAAAAAATCTAATTTTGTTTTTATTATTTCAAAAATTACCTGCAAAATTTCCGTCAAATCCAAAGCCACCACGAAATGGTGGTCGTCCACGACCTAAATCAAATATAATAAAATTTAGCCAGAATAGAAGCAATAATTAAAGGGTATCATACCTCGGAACATTGGAGCACCAAAATCACGTGGTGGTCGTCCAATCATTTGTGGTGGACCATAATTACCGAATTGTTGACCGAAACCTGGATCATATCCACCTGGACCTAAAACACAGTTCGTGAGAATTTTCTTTATATAAGTTAGCCAACGTACCAACATTGAAAGGTCCTCCTCGTCCACGGAAAATTCCTCCTCGGCCACGAAAAGGTCCTCCTCGACTACGGAATGGAGGTCGACCTCCGCCACGTCCATCTCGAAAATTGCCTCGTATATTGTTTGGTCTAACATCAGCTGCATATTTTGAACCTTGTACATTAGTTCCATTAGGACCAGTTACATTTGCAGCTTCATGACCTTTTTCGCCTAAATTAAAAAAAAAAATTTTTTTTTTAAAAAGCAAAAATTCCGTTATTTTTTGCTCATCATACCTTGAACAATATCAAATTCGACTCTTTCATCGTCGCCAACACTACGTAAATATTTTTGAGGATTATTTTTAACAATAGCTGTTTGATGAACAAAAATATCGTCATTATTATCATCTCTAGAAAAAAAAATGAAAGATTGAATATTTTCTATTGTAGTTTTGATTATTTATTGAAAAAAAAAAGCAATACCGTTGAATAAAACCATAACCACTTTTAACATTAAACCATTTAACTTTACCAGTTACCTTTGTTGCTAAAAGATAAAATTTTTTAAGATCATATCTCGAATACATAAATGTTGATAAAATACAAAAGAAAGTTAATGAAAATATAATTATTTAATTACTATCTCTAGGAAATGGTTATTTTGTTTTGTAATTTCGTTTTTCTGTTAAAAAGTTACGTAATAAATCAAACAAAAAAAAACTTACCAATGACAGTTTTACCATTGATTTGTTTTGGATTATCAGTGTCCGAACTGGCTTGATCTTGTTGTTTATTTTTATTGACATCAGATTTTTGATCTGATACTTGATTTTGATTTGTTGCCACGTCGGTTGATGACATGTTAACCTGACTAATTAATTGATTTGTTTATTTATTTATAAATAAAAGCGCGTTGGTTCACGATAAATGATAATTTATTATATTCGTTTGTGCTGTTGTTGCGCTGGATGTTAAATTTAGTTGAAAAACGCTCGGGCGCGTATGATGGTGGTGGTGAATGGGCTTTTGTTGCTCTTATTCTAACGCATTTGAATTACGAATGATTCGTCCATTATGTAGGTAGCAAAAACACGCGCCGAACGCAAGAATAGAAACTAGGAGAAAAGAGAGTGAATAAGAGAAAGAAAATCTTTTTTTCCTCTCTTCCTTGCACGCGAATCATTCTCGTTCTTTAGTTGTTCGCGCGCATTCGTTACGTGATACATACAAAAAAAAAAAAAACACATACACACACACGAGAAGAACGTAATGAAAGAGAAAGCAGTAACATGTACACATAGTAACCATGATTATAATACAAAGAGAACGATCTGGAATTATTATGGACTCGATACAGCAGTAATATTGCACAAACATAATGTTCGTTGTCCAGGGAGTGAAAGTAAAAGAAACATTCAGTTTAAATACATGTGCAAAGAGGAAAAAATAACATAAAAAAAGAGATACATAATATCGACATATATTCATGTCTCTCATGGTTATTATATTATAGCTATTTGAAATCGTATTCATTCAGTTGTATGTAGATTTGTTGTCCAGGGATTAGGTCAATAATATAGATAAATGTCCCTGAATGACAAGTTTGTGAACTATCTTATATATACACAAACTCTATGAAATAATAGAAAGAAACTTTAATATTTGTTACTGATAATTTTATGACTTTTATTCAAATATTTACTTTGTCATAATTTAGCTTTGCATACAAAAAAAAAGAGAATAGTTTAAGCAGCAATAAATTTATCAAATTCTTTTAATGTAGATAGAGCACCACGTACAAAATATGTAGCTATTGCTACGTGATATTCGATTTCTGTTTTAATACCACTGATAATAGCATCACTGACGGTCGGAAAACCAGATGAAGCATACTGATTACTTTTAGCTGGTGCATAAATAATATGTCTTAAATAACCAAAAAAAAACAAAAACATGACATAATTGGAAAACAATATTCTTCATTACTTCATTTCAGTATAATCTGAACCTTGTCCTAATGGATTAAGGAATGCTCGTTCTAATTGTAATAACTGATCGTTATATGTACGAATTTCATATGGACTAAAAAACAAAAAAAAATATAATTTATGATATCGTTTTCTTTTTATAATTCAAATATTCATAATATTACTTTTCAATATCCATTCCTTTCGAACGTGCAACAAAATCTTCAGCAGTCTTACTAAAGTCATTGATAGCATTTCGAAGTGGATCTGAAAGAGAATTTTAGTTAATTAATAAGAATCTAATAACAATTTTTTTTGTATACCAAGATCTGCAGGATTAGCTATTTCGAGGCTGTTCATTGCGTCTGTAAGAGCTGATGCATAGCGGCTAACATTCAATGGTAAAACAGAACTTTCCGAAAGAATTAATGCTAAAACACCTGTAAATTGAGCCATAGTTCTATGTGCCTAGAGTAATCAGAATAATAACAAAATCAATGAGTTTTAACAATGAATAATTTACGAGAAATTCAGGATCAACAAATGTTTTCATCATCGAAAAAACTTCATAGGATGTATGATAGAGTGGATATGAACCTAAATTTCCATGATCAGCTGGATTAAACCTATAAGTGGCATCGAAATTTGATGAGCCAGCTAATTGATCAAAGGCAAAAAAGTCACTTCCTGATCCAAGACCATGTCTTATTCTATACAAAAACGACCATGACGATTCGTAAAAGATTTTGTTTCTTTACTTTGGTTCATTAGTCACGTTATTTCGATCAACTTTCATCCATTTATCATAGACAGTTTGTCCAGCAGGATCGTATGCACTTGGAACCTATAACTCGAGTTAGAAAAATAGTATTCTACATTATTATTATTATTATTATTATTACCATTTTAGCTGCTTCGACAATGGCATCAAATAACATTGGAGAAGCCTCGACATCAACCTTATAAAATCCTATTTCAATAAAATATATGGCAATTCATTGTTCAAGACAGAAAAATAACAATACCATCAACAGCAATATCCAAGTTCAAGTAGGAAACAATACGAGCACCCAATACTTTAACATATTCCTAATTAGCAATATATTGTTATAGCTTGGCGAATCAAAAATAATTAAAAAACAACATATACCTCAACATATTCTACTGATCCAATGAGTCCATATTCTTCAGCACCCCATGAACAAAACATTAAACTACGTCGTGGTCGAAAACCTATTAATAATAAACGTCTATTGTAGTATCAATTATATACGACCATCAAAAACTACCATTTTTATGCATTTCACCAAGTACTCTGGTTATTTCTAAAATAGTAGCTGTTCCACTCGTTGGATCGAGAGAACCCAAACTCCAAGCATCTCTGAAAGTAGATATAATTTTTAGATTGTATAAGTTCGTTATAGCTGATGTGCACAAAGGAAAAAGAAAGCAGATTTTGCACACATACATAGTTTTCGAACAACTATTTAACTACAATCAATAACAGATGATAGAAAATCATTTCTTTTCTTTTCGTACTTATTTAAATTACAATATACATATCAACTTATTCCCCAGAATAAATATAATCATGAAAACGAAACAGATCCGAGCAATGTCATTATTCTCATCACAACATTTTATAAATTAGATAGATATGACATTCATAATGATCGCATTTAACTTACCGATGATTACCGATTACAACATAACGATCTAAAGAAACAAGAAAGTTCTCTATTGTATCGGTATCTAAAGTAAAACTGTTTGTACCTGGCTCGATTTCACCTTTCATTATTCCAATTACGTTATAACTATCTTTTCTTTCAAGTCGATTGTATGTTTTAACTTCGATCTTACTATTCAAAACAAACAGTTACTTTTTAGAGATCTTGAAATTGGTTTATCTTACGATGCATCACTAAGATTTCCACCATAACGATATGTTACATTTGCTAAAGTTCCACGCCATTCTGCTGCCACTTCTCTACCTTGTAAGTATCTAAATGCAACACTTTCTATCATTAAACTCACAATAACAATCAAGGATTTCTTACTGAAGAATAATCTGAGCTTCACCATAACCAATTGGCTGAGCAGGAATTTTAGGTAGAAAGCGTGAACTGTCTTCTTTCATTCTGTACATGTAGTCTATGGAATTCAAAGATACTCTATTTATTAATCTAATAACTAGAACATTGTGAAACCTGTCGATGGATATATTGGTGTCAAAGGATCACCATTCGAAGTATACGCTGATCCTCGTTGTGCACCACTTGGAGGCATATACCATTTTTGATCATAGACTTGATCAGGTGTTGTTCCAAATGGAGCATAATCAGCTGGATCATTATACAATATAGCACCAACAGCTCCAAAATATTGAGCATGCATTACCTACAAATCATTCGATAATCTCTTCAAACATATTCTTTTCATTGAAGAAGAAAAGAAAAAAAACATACCTTATCTCCTCGAAAAGTACGACCATATCTCATAATGATAATACTACCTTGAAGACTAACATTTCCAACAATCGATGCTAAGGTTTGAAGATCTTCAAGTTGACCATAATTAGCATAGAATAGTTTTGTCTATNCACTCGGTTTCTTTGTTTGTTTTAACTAACAATTGGAGGCCATGTAACTGGAAACTAAAGAGATTGTTCATAGTCGAATCAAATGAATGCTCTCGCTCACAGACCAACTAGTTTAAAACATGAGCTGTCGATAGTGTGCACAAACCGAGATGTTTAAATTTCAAGATATATACAGTTTATTATGCGTCAATACGACGAAATGTCATTCACCCTTAGTTTTTTTTCATCATGGATGGATGGAACACGATAATTTCAATAAAGAAAAGAAATATCACACATATTCAAAAGCAATTTGACAGCAATCAGAATTTTTTGTTTATTACACTTATGATCAAAAAAATGTTGTCTTAGACTTCGTAGATTTTGCTTTTTAATATGCGTGATATTGTTTTTTCTTATGAAAATGGTCGTGCTCCATCCAACCATGACGAAAAAATAAAACTAAGCATTGATGAAATTTCGTAGTATGGACACATAACAAACTGTACATTTCCTGAAACTCGAATATCTCGGTCTGTGTATGCTATTGGCAGCTCATATTTTTAATTGGTTGACTTGATAGTGACAGCATTCATTTGATCCGACTATGATCAATCTCCGTAGCTTACAGTACCCGATGTCTTACTCTAAGTTATATCATATTTGTATTGTCTTTCTTTGCCATGAAATACTTCCTGGAATAAAGTATGAGACGATAAACAATAAAAGTGAAGTATTTTGCGCAAGTATGTCAACATGATAGCCCTTTGTTTGCAAAAAGTTACTCTTTCTGATTACTTTAGGATTTCGGAGAAAAAATTCTGATTTTTTTCTGCTTTTGAAAATAAGAATTTCTGATTTTTGAAGTTTTCATCTGGCAACCCTGCTTAAAATAACAGAAACTATTCTTTTCTTCTTCTTTTGTTTTTTTTCTTCATAGAAAGAACAAGCAAGAAGTACATGCGTAATTCAGACGGAAGAAAAATAGCAGAGTTATTATCTAACTCAAAAATGAACAACCAACTCTGAAAAAGTGAAATTACAATGGACAAATCTCCAAATGAAATGGGCTATTGGCCATTTGTCCTCCCTTGGCTACGCCAGGGGTGCGGGTGTAGGTAGGTGTGGGTGTGGGTGGGATGTGGATGTAGGTAGGTATGGGTGGGATGCGGGTGTAGGCAGGTGTGGGTGGGTATGGGTGTGTGGGCGTGGGTGGGTGTGGGTGGGTGTGGATGTTTTTCGCCCCGATACCCGCACCTACCTTGACATTCATAGCATCACTCTAATTATTGGAGAAGACGGCAAAAGAAGGAAAAAAAACAAAAGCCGATGAACAAAAAGAACATCAAGAAAAGGACACACATTGATGAAAAATGTGATATGATGTTAGTTTCACATGTCATGAAAGCTTTTATCGAAATTTTATTATTGTAGTACTAGTTTAAGAAAGATCAAATATCACAGAAAGATAGGGCATTGTTTTTACTATCCGTGTATAAAAAATTAAGTTTTTTAAAGCCTGCTATATGATATTAGAGTGTAACTACCACTACTTTATGACTGTCTAAGTATATAAAGTCAATGATATTTGATCCATGCTCGTTTTCGGTTATTAATTTATTCGGTGATACTGGAATCGGCAAAAATGAAAATTGTCTACAAGTCTAATCCTCAAAGTTTCAGAAGAACATGTTCTGTTTAAGTGTTAGAAATTTTTTCTTTTTTACTATTAGTTTTGACACTAATTACATACATGCAGAAGCCGAATACTGCTTACGGCTATTCAACTTCTTCTTCAACTATTCAACTTTCAACTGAGGGTGTGAGGTGTAGGGGAGGCGGTGAGTGGGGAATGGGAGAGGTATTTTTGTGTGGACGGGGAGGGGGGCAATATGTTCGTGTGGGAAAGAAGTATATTGGCATGAATGTGTGTGAGAGGATATTGATAGGTTTTTTGTGTGGGGAAGGATCTGAGTCTGGGAGATTTTGAGGAGAATTTTGGGGTGAGGGGTGGGCAGACTGTTGGTGTGGGCGGGGATGGTATGTTCATGTGGATGGCGGAGGGGCATGTGAGTGCCGCTATTGAAAGTTGAATAGTTCAAAGTTTAATAATAGAATCGATTTAACGGCTTCCACACTATTGACTAATTAAGTTATTGTTGGTAAAAATGAACATTAATAATAGTAGCCAACAGCCAATTCATCTTGCATATGATTGCAAGTGATGACATAAACTTTCTTCTGAGTTAATCTAGGAAATAGTCTAAAATGAAGAGTAATAACTTACCAGTTGAAACAAATACCAATGTAAATTTGTTGTCAGTAACGAGTTCACGGAAGTATTGACCAGATAAGGTTTAAAATCGAATTTTTCAATAGAAATCTGAAAGCAACACAGAGCTGAAGAAGTTTTACTAGAAAAGTCGTATGTTATTGAAAATATTTGCTTTACTAGGTTTGCGATTCTTATAAAGGGCAAAGAACATTGGGTATTTTCTCTCTCTGGGTTTTTTCCAAAGATGAGTATTTTTTTTCAATAAGAAAGGAGAACGTGAGTGATTCTTAACCCTTTGTTATGCCATGTACATACACTGTAAAAAATAGGTACTTTTCTGAACCTTCCAGATGCGTGCAAACGGTTAAAAAACGATTCTTAAAATCTACGAAACCTTTAAGGGATCTGACCGCGGATACAAAGTCGGAACCATCTCTTACGAAACCGTTTTCAAGTTCCGTACAGCGAAAAAAGATTTCGTAAGAAAATACAAAACCTTTATAATTCCTAGTAAACCTTATGGTTTCGGACGATGGTTTTATACGAAACCATTATGCATACTAGGAAACTATAAAGGTTTTGTATTTTCTTACGAAATCTTTTTTCGCTGTACGGAACTTGAAAAAGGTTTCGTAAGAGATGGTTCCAACTTTGTATCCGCGGTCAGATCCTTTAAAGGTCTCGTAGATTTTAAGAATCGTTTTTTAACCGTTTGCACGCATTTGGAAGGTTCAGAAAAGTACCTATTCTTTTTACAGTGTAGTACGTGCCGGGTGTGGGTGTGGGCGAAGAGAAGACAATTCCCGCACTCGCACTAACTTCCACACCCACACCCTTCTTGTTACTTCTCTATATCTGTATTATCTTTCGAAGTATAAACATGCACTTCTTATTTCGTGCGCAACTTTCCATGTGCATCTTTCGTAGATCTGACAATCGTGACTGGAACAATTCTAAAAATTTCGGGACGGGAGAAACGCATGTAATCCGGTTTATGATTTCTCTGGGAAATATTGATCCAAAAATAGCAAATCATTTCTCTGAGAAATCGAAAGTATGATTAAATCTGAAATAAATCAGGCTTTCGTTCTAACATCTTCTTTTCGGCACCTCTGTATCAATACGTCTAAACTATTCAGAGGTGCGCGAATACAAGTACAATTTGTACTCTCAATTACTCATATACTTTCATAAATCAAATATGTACTCTGACCACCATATGTACTGGGAAAAAGTTTAGAATCGGTGGGAATGTACTGTCATGTACTGGGTCGAAAAACCTAGAATTACTTCGTATGTACTCTCATATACTATCGGGTGTGGGTGTTGATCTACGTCTCCGTCTGACAGAATATCCGTATCCTACGCCCACATCCACGCCTGATAGTACATGACAGTACATCCTCACCGATTCTAAACTTTTTCCCAGTACATACGACGATCAGAATACATGAGAGTACATCCCCGCTGATTCTAAATTTATGGGAGTGATGTTGATTTCAGAGTATATCTTGTACTCGTACTCGCGCAGCCCTCAAACTATTACGCCTAAATCTTTACAGGAGTGGAAATAATATTTTTCCCGAGGATCGGGGGCGGGGGAGGGGTATCACAGTAATTTCAAATAAGGCATATAATGAATTTTATAACAAATGAAAGTTCATCGACAATGGGGTTTAGCGGAGTTAGATGTTCGCTGGCTAATAATCTTCCTTTATTGCAAAAATCACTGCTATATAAATGAATGCACTGGGAAAAAAGAACAAGAAGAAAGTTCCAACACATCTGAACTAGATCAAAGGAAAGATAACGATTATGGAATATACCATAAATGCAGGAAAGGAAAGAAAAGAATATATATGTCATATATGTTAGATAGAAGAACGGAGCTAAGAAAAGAAAAAGAATACAAGGACGAGATAAAATCTCTCGTATCCTGACAAACGGTACTCAACAGTGAGGACCACGGCAACTTTCTAGTTTCAAAATCAAGAAATTCCCAGAACTTTGCGCCATATCAATGCAGAAAAAGTCTTCTCACGAGGCTGTTCAAACTAGATCTGATTTCACGTAATGAATATTACAAAGCAATCGACACCTAGCCGAAAAACATGATAACAGTAATCGAAAATAATGTTTAAACGATACTGACATAGATGGAACATAATCGTTATCATGAAGAAAAAACAATAAAACACATTCCAATTGTTTTGACAAACATTGGAACAGGTGTGGGTGTGAATGTGCGTCTTCTTTTCACATATACGCACGCGTATATTCACAGGCTCACGCTCATCCACACTCAAATTCTTATAGCATTTTCCGTTAAACACTTCTTAATATGATTATGATTATGATTATGGCATTGATTATTAAATAGTTCCACATCTTCCTTAAATCATAAATAAAATCTTATCTAACATGGAGCGAACCTTTATATCGACTTTTTTTGTTCATTAATTCATCGGGCTACTTGTAAAATAACACGATCAATTGATTTTATAGACACAGATATTTGAAAAAATGACAGAAACATACTAT